GAAAGAGTGAGAGCGATAACACCAAATTTAACACACCTGCTCCCCATTCACACCTGAGACCTTGTAACACTAATGAGTCACATAACAATTGGGCCCAATTTGGACATTTTCACTTCGAGGTGTACTAACTTTTGTTGCCAGCTGTTTAGACATTAATGGCTGTGTGTTGAGTTATTTTGAGGGGACAGCAAATGTACACTGATATACAAGCTGTACACTCACTACTTTACATTCTCTACCCCTCACTTCTTTACATTCTCTCCCCCCCCCCGCCCCCCCCATTTACAAACTCACTTCCCAAATAAAACCCTGCGCTCCAACCGGTGCACTCACCCAGCACATCTGGTTACCTTTCCCTTCTTCCCCACCCCAACCCCCGACGAGCGCTACACACGGGCAAAAACTCTCATAATTTTTCACTACTTTACATTGTAGCAAAGTGTCATTTGTTCAGTGTCATCACATGAAATTATATAATAAAATATTTACAAAAATGTCAGTGGTGTACTCACTTCTGTGAGATATTGTCCATAGAGTTTCTGCATTAAGCAGAAGAGAATACATTTGAATAACTGCACGAACAGCTGTCCCTGGTAGGTAAGAGGAACAGCTGGAGACTAGGGTTGATTTACTGAAGGCAAATAGACTGTTGGCTTTGCAAGGGATTTTTTACTTTGAACAGGATTTTCCGCTTAGCTTGGTGAATGTGGGGAAAATTCACTTTGCAAAGAATACCCAATCACGTGCACATGATTGGATGATGGAAGTCAAATTCCCCTGCAAAAGTGAACAGCCTATTTGCCTTTAGTAAATCAACCCCACTAATTCTTACAAATGCACTTTTGTGGCTGGCTTTAAGTTAAGGTGTGCAACTGAACACAAAGAACATGGGAGTTGGATAATATCCAACCACTGGAATACCAATGAATGTTGTAATATGTCTGTGTCCTTTTATAGCTAAATCTCTTACATATCTTATCAGGCTATAACTATTTCTTAATTAAACGTATTAATTTGACTGTCAAAGTTTTATGTAATTAATTCAGAAACAGATTGCACATCCTGCTTATCAAATTAATGAAATATCCACCCAGTCAGTGAATGTACAGGCCTCTAATTGTTTAATGTTCCTGGCTCTAAGATTGGAATGCTGAAACACCTTGTTTAGTATTTGTACAAACACCTAAATAGTCCCTGGGGCAAGCATCCTTCTCCCACTTGCTATGATCATTTTCCTACCCACAGAGTCAATTTGTTTTTAAAGTGTATTTCTAGCCAATTCTTAGTTGTGCATAGAATGTGGAAAAGTTAGAACATTTGTCAGGCTTTATTTTCCATCCCCACAGGGGAGAATCACCCTCTTTGTTTGTCTTCATGACTATTGTCACCAGAATGGAAAGTGGTAGAAAATCATAAAGAGGAACTACAACCTCCTATCCTTTGCAACCAAGGAAGGTGCCCTTTAGCCTCTATTTTTAATGCAGTTGCCATGATGCTGCACATGTGATCAGCTAGAACACCAGTCATTTGAGGGCAACCGAGAAAATTGGTATAGTAACTTGTTTAGGGAGACATTAAATTGGTGGCTCGAGTTCTTCTTTAAACTTTACAGTGATCATTGGAGGATAAGATGAGATGAAACATTTCAATTGGGAAAAGTTTTCTTCTCACTTTGGAGAAATTTCTTCTTACTTCTAGTAATGTCTTTAAGAAATCTCCTTAAGGTGACACTAAACTCAGGAGTTAAATTTTAAAAACATATTCAACTACCTTAATTATTAACAATAATGTACCTAAATATTAACAATACAGCTTACTCCCATGGTGGAGTACAATCTCAATACAAATTAGTAAACTAAATATGAGATTTTAGTCCATACACGGGAGCGAGCTTGGGGCGGTGGCTACTTTACAACACACACAGGGACCATGGGGAACAATAGTAGCCACCCTCCAAAAGACAGGACAGTGTCAGCACAAATTCAGAGATGATTTGAGGATCTGCAGTAAATGATGCGATGTACAAATAGGGTCCATTATTTTCAATAGTTCAGGTACTTGGATGCATTTTTAAGATTTAACTCCTGAGTTTAGTGTCACTTTAAGGAGACAGAGACAAAAAACCCTGGGAGGGGTTCTAATTATTCCCCACTCTATCGAATACCTAAAAGTTTTAACTACAGTTAAAACTTTTAGGTATTCAAGCTATCTGAATTGTTTCATTTCCCTCTCTTAAACTTTCTTTTTGCATAATTGTTAATAAATATGAAATCAAAACAGCTAAAAATAATACATTTCACAGGAAAAGAAATCTAAAGGAAGGAACTTGACTCTGGTTCACAATTTACCAGATCTAGGCTTTATGTAGATGCAAAGCATGTACATACGTCATGTACAGTCTGATTGCACTCATGGGCACTATGCATTTTATTTAATAAAAAGAAAATACTATACAATAACTTGATTTATAATAGCCATTAACATTTCAACTTTCACTAGTCAGGTTTTAGAAAGCGGATTAAAGAGTCTTTCTAGTAGAGGCCAGTTCAACCAGATATAGGAAGTGCCTGTAAATGTACACAATAGTGATTGCTACTTGAAAGCACAGGTGGCAGATAGGTCTAAGCACAGAGTACAGAACGTAGGGCTTGTTTACACCAGCCCGATTGGGCTGCTTTGGGCACCATTGCCCAACGCAGTCCCAAAGCATAGAAAAGGCAATTTCATGTTTGTCCTATTGCTTTGCCCTGTACACATTGGGCATGTTCAATTTTTGCCTGGGGTGTTCTGAGGTGCTATAATGCATCATGATGTGCTGCAGCCCTTTGCGTTAAATGAAGTGTAAGTTTAAGTAGGTTTAAATAAATAAAGTTTAAAAACAAGCATGCACTGCGATGCATTGTAACAAATGATTGCAGCGTGTCTGCACAAGGCACATCTCCATTGCATGAAGGAGGTGGTGTGAATGAGCCCTTATTGTGACCATATATTATGTTCCATTAGGTCCCAATACAAAATATACATAGTCCAGACAGCAGAACCAGACAGGTGACATAGTTAAGCAATACAGCCAAGTCACCTCTCTGCCCCCCACCACTACCTATGATTGGATAATGAAGTAGCAGTTAAAGCTCATCCCCCTGCTCACTCTGTTCTCTCCTCCTTGTCTTCGCATTCACATTGCAGCACAGTTGATTGGTTAATGGTGTTGTCCTCTTACCCAGTTTGATTGCTGTTGTACAGTGGATTACAAGAGGCTGATACCAAGCTAAATTCAGGTGCTTATACTAGCTGCATTTAAATAAATTCATGAGTACATTACTGCATTACTTGGTGCTTTTTGTCATCTGTCTGAAGTTCAGCCGAGCTTGATCAGATGTATTCACCTAATGGCAGGCACCATATGCTTACATAATTTATTGATTACACATTACTGAAAGAAACACATTTTTTAAAGGAAAACTCTACTTTCTCTAAACATTCTCTAAGCATTCTCTATTTTGTAATTACATGTTATAAAACGGTTGTTTGCATTTTAGTCTCTAGATATTATACAGGTCTATTCACCAAGGGGTGAAGGGTTTGGAGAAGACAGGAGAAGAGAACAATCTAGGCCAAAATAGCTGATTTAGAAAAATTCTTAAATTCAGATCACATTCACATTCAGCTATGTTGTCCTAGATTGTTCATTTCTCCTGCCTTCCCCAAACCCTGCACCCTTTAGTGAATACACCTGATAATTTTTTTTAATTATGTATTAACTTTATTTATTTATGTTGTATGTGTTATTATTTTTCATATTATTATTGTTTTGTTTTTTTTTATTAAAAAAATTATGCATCCTTTTAGAGTGGCAACCTGGAATCATTGGGGGTGATTTACTAACCTAAACACACGCACGCACCAGGTGCGTGTGATTTTCACACAGCAAAACGTATTTATCAACCAAAAAGTCTCTAAAAGCATATTTCCACTAATGCCATATATGGAAAAATCATGCACATGATCCATATATAATGCTGCTTCACAGTTTAGACAAAAATGGTTAGCTCATGCATTTACATTCCTGCATTCATCAACGCAAGCAACATAACATAGAGCTAATTTACACAACATCACCTTGGAATTCATGCAAGGCTTTGCACAACACACCTGCTGGGTGTGTACACACTACAAAGGTGTTTAGATTCCACCCATAGATCATGCTGGGAGGGAACACACTACAGAGGTGTATACATGTTCGTGGTGTGTTTATAAGGTTAGTAAATCAACCCCATTGTGTCATTGGTTCTCTGCATTCACCAGAAGTCTGCTTCGCTTTTAGAAATCACATTCCATAGGACTTTCATATTTGGTGACCTGCTTTCTAGGCTCATCTAAAAAGATACAGGCACTGGTGCTTTTCTCCTTTTCTTTTTACAACACTGAGATTGCTTAGCTGATTATACTAAAGGTTGACCATCCACTTCAAAAATCTGCTTGAGAAAGGGCATGCTAAGCTAATCAGCAATTACTTCACAACAGAGAAAGGAATGAATCTGCGAAAAAAAGTTTGCTGAATTCTTGCAATATAGTTTATGTGGAAGAGATTGTTACGGTGGCATGACTGGAAGCAGAGGTTGTGTTTCAAGTTTCAATAAAAGTCTGCATGTGCTGAGATAAGGATGCATATTTATAATCAATTCACAGCAAATCTTTGCTGAATGGAGCCGTCCCAGTGCTCACTGCCAGGTGAGATGGACCAAATCCAAGAACCAGATGAATCAGGGCACTCTTCGTTAAAAGTCCGCTTTATTAATTGGATAAATAAAAATGTACGGTATAAAAGACGTCCTAAGCCAATGGTAGGTTTACATGGATTCAGCAAAGCTGTGCCAAAATGAAATTCTCATTAGAGTAGATAGACCTCTTATTTTAATCTTTCTAGATCTATAATATTACTCATGTAGGTTTTATCTGTGTCTCTTAGGATAGCTATGTCTTCATGATATCACTCCTACTCATCAAACACAGATCTGTCTGCAATCCACCAGCACTCATTCTGTCGAAATGAAAAAGTTAATTAATTTTCGTCAGACCTTGATGACATCATTGAAATATTTTTTGACGTAAATGTTAAAAAATAAGAATAACTCGCCATACGCTACATTAAAGCATTTCAAAACCCAAAAACAAAAGTGTGATATATTGCAGCTTATACCAGTCCTTAGATGTGGTGGATGGATTTGTTTTCATTTTTCAAGTCAGGAATATTTGCAGCAAATACAGAAAATCCCAATTGATCATGTGAGCAATGCAGTGTCCTTGTCATTTACAGAACCTTATCTGCATTGTGTTAACTAGTAGTCTCAAAAACCCACCATGTAATGGAGATGAACAAAGGTGGACATGTAGTCAGGGGCGTCCCGAGTCTGGGTGTCACCTGAAACGGAGAACGGGTGACACCCCGCCGTAACGTCGTCGCGCATGCGTGTGATGTTGCCGCGCGCGTGCACGGTGACGTCATCGCACATGTGCAGTCGTCTTTTTAATGCCTACCGCCGCCCACCTTGGTGATGGACACCGGCAGAGAGAGGAGAGGACGTTCACCCGGTAGGATGAGGTATGCCACCAGGTCCCCTCCTCTCTCCTGACACTGTCGGGCTCTGGCTCGTGGTCCATGACATAGTGCCCGACTTTTCATAGGGGGTGACACCAAAATGACTGTCAGTCATTTTGGTGTCACCCCTCCAATGGTGGCACCTGGGTCCGGGCCGCACCCCCCTTGTGACTCCACTGCATGTAGTCCAGCCTATGTGACAACCATGACTTCTTCCATAGATACATATGATAAATAAACTCAGCCACGGAGGGGTGGAAAGTATGTTATTTGCAGAATTACCAGGTGAAAATAAAGGAAAAAAGGCTTGAAAAAAGATAATGAATGCAGCAGCTACACTCAAAGACCGGTAAGCTTCAATATATTACTCTTTTGTTTCTAGATTTAGATATGCTTTAAAAAGGACTTTGATTCCTGTGTTTGGATCTGAAATTCAGCAGAAATTTTGGAGTACCTAGGGATTAAAGGCAGTTGCAGCACAGGTGTTAGGTGTAGATGAAGGCACCTCTTCTAAAACATCATACCTCACCAGTTAAGTCCATTTTCACTGACTAGACTGATGTCAAGTGTTGTAAAGGAGCCAATTGGCTGTTTTTTTTAGTATACAATTAATGATACCAACAAAACACTCTTTGAGCCTTCAGCATATTTGCAAAGATCAAAGTAAAATTAGGTGAACATGTGAGTCTGACCGCTAAGTTAGTTGAGGCAGAAAAGCTCCTGGCTACATCATGACCCAATTCTAGGATCACACTGCAAACATCATCAAATAATCAGAAACGTAATCTGATCTCTTTTGACCACTTTATATAAATGATCCCTCTGCTCTGATATAGTGGAAGAAATATTCACAACCTAATCAGGCATCTTCCAGGCAAATGCATGTACTAAGCTTGGTTTGTAACAACATTCCCTTCAGGGAAATTATCCTGACTCATATGTCTGACACTGGAAAAAGACGAAAGGCTAAATGAAACGTCACGCAAGCTACTTATTCTGGATGCTAATAATACACTTTGACCAAATAAGTACTATGTTCCTGCAGCAAAGAATTTTATTAACAAAGCATGCAACAAAATACTGCTTCTCCATTTCTCACAGTTCCTTAATTGTACTGCAGCTAGAAATGCAATTGGATTTCACCTACAGAGCTACTTAATGCTGAAATCTGATCATGTTGCATTACCATAAACATATCATTGTAATGGGTGTTTAACACATATCACCTGTGGTTTATGGGGGGTGACCATACAGCAGTGGAAAAGCCTTCTTTAGTGACAACGATACTATGACAGAGTGGTATTTCTTTTTCAAATGATTCTCTACAAGAACCTCTCAGCATTGTTTCCCAGATGGGCTTCACAAACTCTTGGACCACACATCCCTCTTGATATGCCCAACTCCCTGCTTTCCTGCTTTCTCCATAAACAGGACCTCACTCTGCCTCTAGATTTTTACCCCTCCACTAATGCCTCTTGAGCTTCTTATATAGAACATCACTAGGACACGGGTTTGTCAGTGGGAAGGTTAAACAACAGCAATTCTTCATTTTAAAATTCAAGTGTAAGTTTCACATTATGATTGAAATGTCCTCAGGGATGCTTTCTTCTAATTCTAGGACTTCCTGCTCGACTCCTTAGATGAGGCAAGCTCAATGACACCCAGGATTAGAACAGCCAGTGGTGCCCTGCTCCCCCAAGGATGGGGTAACCTGGTCCCCAACTACATCATACCTGCTCATCTACAGAATACTAATTAAAGGAGAACTATGAGGTGAGTGCTTTTCACTCACCTCATAGTTCTAGCCGACCTGTGACAATGAGACTGTCACAGGTCGGCTCAGTAGATCGGGAGGTGAGCGAACACATACCGGGTTCGCTCACCTCTCGATCCTGTCACGGCTCTCTGCCGTGACAGGGGGAGGGGCTGGATTCCCCTCTCCCCGCTCCGATCTGCCTGCGCTGACTGGCGGAACGGACGGGGCGGGTACAGCTGGCTCTGCTGCCTCGGCGTCGGCTGCGGCGTCTCAGTATAGGAAGGAAAGGACCTCCACGGTAGTTTTCTCAGGGATACTGCCGGTGCCAAGAGCCACTCCGGACAGACAGCGCGAGTTGAGGGAGCTTAACAAGTGGCTCCGGAGCTGGTGTCAGAAGGAAGGTTTTGGTTTCCTGGAGAACTGGGCTGTGCCACCCAAAATAAATTGAGAATGTGCACTGTTTGTTGTGTTCACCTTTCTGTGTACATGTAATAAAAATATACAAAGAAAGTTCAGACCAATACCAAGTCTTCTTAAATGAGGATAATTATGGTACAATGTTATAACAATAAAACAGCTAAATAAGGGCCCGTTTTCTTATGTGCCAGCTACCTTTCTATAAAAGTTGGGGTTCCCAGCAGTCTTTTATCAGTGTGTGTTGGAGACTTGGAGTAATTAGGGAGAGCTGACAGAATGAGGGGAATTTATCAACACTGGAGCAGACAAAAACTGGAGCAGCTGTGCATGGCAACCAATCAGTGTCTCCGTTTAATTTTCAAATCCTAACTGAAAAAACTGAAGAGAGAAGCTGATTGGTTGTCATGCACAGCTGCTCCAGTTTTTGTCTGTTCCAATTTTGATAAATTCCCCCCTATGTGTATCAGGGAATGTTAGTGCTGTTTTGTACTACTTTTTACAGGGGGGAGAAAGTAACTGCTATGTAGTGCTATATAGTGCTATACACAGTGCTGTATTATACTACATTTTACATGGAGAGATATTTACTGTTTTGTAGTGCTATATAATGCTATACACAGTGCTGTATTATACTACATTTTACATGGAGAGATATTTACTGCTTTGTAGTGCTATATAATGGTATACACAATGCTGTATTGTTCTACATTCTGCAGGGAGAGATAGTTTCTGCTATAGGGCTTATGCACACAGGTGTATTGCAGAGCAACTACAGACGTATTTTCATAAAGTACACCTGTATTTGGGGCACTTGTGAGCTGCAGCTGCTGCTTTTCTGTCCATTCATTGCTGTTCATACATGCCCTGAAACTGGGGTGTATGCCTGCAGTCACCGGCACCGGGCACTGCGCATGGGGTAAGTTTCTGAACCTGAGCTACGACTCCCAGACGTGGCAAATATAGGTGTATTTTATACAGTATGAAAATATGCCTGTATTTGCTCTGCTGTAGGTCTCATGCACACAGGCAGAAAAAAACACCGCTTTAAGGCAATTTTTTTATGTCTTTGATAGTAGCTCTGTTTTAACCAATGTGTCCATGCACATTGTGACTTTTAGGCCTCATCTACATGCATTTTAAAATGAATGTGGAGCGAGATAAAGTGAGGATAGACACATTTTACCTCACTAACATACAATGCAGAACCCAAGCCTCAAATATCTAACCCTATGTTAGGACAAAGGTTGTCAAAACCTAGGGGTCTATTCACGAAGCTGCCGAAGGATCTGGTCGTAGCTTCGGCCGATCCTTCGGCTAGCTTCGGCTCCAGGACCCCTTCTGTTCAGTAGAACCGAAGGGGTGCTGTACGGGCTATTCATAATAGCCCGTACAGCTCCCGATCATGGCCGAGCGGCTCAGCCGAGCCGAACGCATATGCATCAGCTCGGCTGAGCCGTGCTGAAAGCCGAAGCAGCTGGGCGGAGCCAGCCGTGATCTCATTTTTTTTTTCTATTCTGACATCGACCGTGTCAGAATAAAGAAAAAAGGACACATCAGTGCTTCTCTCCTTGGCGGCCGGGAGCGGGAGACTCCCAGAGCGCCCAGGAGAGTTTTTTTGTTTTTGTTTTTGTTTTACAGCAGCAGAGCCGCCGGACAATAGGAAACTATTGGGCGGAGCTAGCTGTCACTGCTAGCTCCGCACAATCATTTGCTATTTACTTTTTTCACTGTTTTTCAGTTCTGCTCGGTACCTCTGAGGGACCAAGCAGAACAGCCAAGCCGAATGCCGCTCGTCGGCATTCGGCTATTCACTCACTGCTGTTCGGGATCTTAAAGAATAGCCCGAACAGCAGTGAGAAGCCTGCCGGAGGTTCGGCTCAGCCGATCCAGATGTTGGATCGGCTGAGTCGAACTCCTTCTGCACTTCGGGTCGGCTGAACATGCTGAGCATGTTCGGCCGACCGGAAGCCACACGAAGCAAGCCGATGTACGGCTGATTTCAGCCGATGTACGGCTGAAATTAGCCGTACCAGCCTGAAGTGAATAGCCGAACAGTGTTCGGCTCACTTCACTGCAGATCGGTCATTCACTCGGCTGCCCTCGGCAGCTTCGTGAATAGACCCCCCAGTTTCCAATTGATAATTAGATCTGCCAGTACAAACAGGGTTACTTATGGTAAACATTAACTCATGTTAACTCATGTAACAAATATATACAAAAATATACACTTTAATGGCAACTCTCAAGCATGGAATTGAGAGGATTGGTGTTTTTCCCATTGCTTCCACAAACTCACATAAAAATGAGGACCCTCTCCCCCTTAACAGTATTTTTTAATTCTCTTTTTTTTTTTTTTGCAGTGTTCTATGTCGTCTATGGCAGTACTGAGTTCCCCATGCCCTTTGTTTGGCAATCCCTATTGGCTTTGAAAATGCCCAGAATTGATTGCAAGATTCATGACCCCATAGAGTTCAATGGGGTCCAGATTTAATGGTTTCGACAAATGCCCCATGGACTGAACCCAGGCACATTCACTCATTCCTAGTTCATAAGCTGTGCAGAGCAGCCAAAAAACATGAGGCTATTGAATCATGTGCCAGAGGGGCCATTCTCTTCCTGTCTAGATGAAAGTAAGAGAGTGCAGGCAGCTGTATTTGGTTAGAGCTGGGGTAATTAATACTTGTTTATCGCAGGGTCCTGGAAAGCTCAAACGGACATGGCAGGTATATGCAGCCCCCAAC